TGGTAAATTTAATCAGATGTCCTTTTAGTCTTCCCTTTTTCATCAATTGACTATTCAGTTGGATGTATATACTGTTGGGTTATATTGATCTATGCAATATGCTGTAACTCAAAATTCTAACTTTTCAACCTAATGCTTTCACATCTCAGCATCCTATATGACCCTCTGGGACTTCAAGACCTGTGATGGAGAAACAACCTTGACCTTGGCAGTCAAAGCTGGTCTGGTGGAAAATGTAAGAACGTTACTAGAAAAGGGAGTGTGGCCCAACACCAAAAATGACAAAGGAGAGACACCCCTTCTGCTTGGTAAATGACCTTTTTCTAGACCTGTTATATAGTTTGAGACAATAAATATTTTCTAAGTATTTATTAGAAGTCACTGTGCATTGAGTAGAATGGTAAGACCTTTTATCTTTCTAGTCTTTGAGCTCCTCCCCAAGCTCCACCTCACCTGTCTTATGATTTAGTTTTCTCATCACACAAGAAGGCTAAATGTGAAAAATAACTACATCCTTCAGCACCAGATTATAGAGTACAACTAACCTGGAGAGATACCAAACAGGAATTTTACGTAGTGCCTCAGAGGCCAACTAGTCACTTTTGATCCCTCCAGGACCATTTTCCCCCCATCATTCATCTGGGCACAGTACTTTATGGTACTGTGATCTATTACAGTCATGTCATGGGTACTGTCTGAGTGGTAGTTAATCTGATTTGTGATGATCAGACACTTATTAAAGGTTTTTTTTGCCCTCAAACTCCATCTCTGCCCACCACCTGGAGTATCATCTTACTCAGGTAAATAGTTCCCAAACTATCCTGGGCAGTGGGCCCAGGGTAGAGAGGAAGCCCTGGGTCTGTCTGGCACAACATTTCAGTTCCTTTGTCCTCCATGACCCTCCACGACCTATGCCATTTACAGCTCAGTTAATTTTCCTTCAGACATTTTCTTTTTCATGAGTCAATACACATCTTCTTCATCCCCATCTCCTCTTCCAATTTTCCAGTCCGTGTCAAGAAACCATGGAAAAATCTTTCTTCTCTATTTGTATGTTTCATGAGTCAGGAAATAATCAAACTCACAGCTGACAATGAGTAAATTACATGAGCAAAGCTCATTTAAAAAAAAAAAAAGAAAGAAAATGACAGTAATTTAAAATAGAAATGTGCCATCCAATTCTAAATTGTTCAAAAGTGCCTAGAATCTGTGTAAAATTTTCTAATTCCTATTTCTTTAAACTCTTAAGCTTAAGCCTCATTTTTTAAGGATTAGTATTACAGATATATATTTTTTTTCTTAAGAAAGTGGTTTTTGTTGTTTGTGTGTGTGTATGTATGTATTTTACTTAGTTATCTTATACCAACACTCCAAAAAAACCTCCAAACTCGCTGCCATCAAGTCAATCTCAACTCATAGCGACCCCCACTGGGTTTCCAACGCTGTAAATCTTTACCGAAGCAAACTGCTCCATCTTTTTTCCATGGAGCGGCTGGTGAGTTTGAACCACTGACCTCTTGGTTTGCAGCCAAATGCCTTAACCACCACACTGCTACAGCTCCTTACACCAACACTCAAAAACTCACTGCCGTGGAGTCGGATCTGACTCACAGCGACCCCTCCTTGGGTTTCTGAGGCAGTACCACTACGGAAGTAGATTGCCCAATCCTCCTTCCAAGGAGTGGCTGGTGAGTTTGAACCTCCAGCCTTCTAGTTAGCAGTCAAAAATGCCTTAGGCACTATGCTATCAGAGCTCCCCCACCAACACTATACCCTACTAATTTTCATTTTTTCAGCCATCCATTTGTTAGGAATGTCTATGGGGTTCCTTGGAAGGGGTCATTAATCATACACTTTTTTATTTCTATGAGAAATAAATTCTTAGTTCCAAAGATTAAATTGCAAGTAAGGTTTTGATTAAAAAACAAACATTTAAGTTGACAGCCTATATATATTTTTATTTTCATCATGAAAGACTAATATCTCGAATCAACATGTTCTCTGAGTCAGAGAAAAGAAAAATGAGGGTGAAGAGGTTATGATTTTAATACCTCTCTCCCCCTCTTCAATACCCTTCTCTAATTTAATGCATTTTCCTAATTAGAAAAAATGCAACAGGGAAGATAAATGAGGACACATTCCTCTTAGTTTGTTTAACTTGCTTAATGTTTGCTCTTCTAACCCCAGCCAGGATGAGGTCATTCCCTGTAATTAGAGCTGGCAGTGGCAGCTGGGTGATTCAGAGACCAGCATTTGTCATTAGACTCCACTTTAAACCGTGAGCAAGAGAAAAACAGATCCCACTGCATTGGTGGCTTGCTTGCTTCCGAAGGGAACAGGCAGTTTGTCTTCGTGCTCGGATTTTGCCTTTTCCCCTCGCCGTGGCCTTTGCCTTCTGCATCTGGCCTCCTGGCCGCGGCCTTCGCCTTTCTGCATCTGGCCTCCTGGCCGCGGCCTTCGCCTTTCTGCATTTGGCCTCCTGGCTGCCCAGGATGTTTTATGTGCCCTTACATCTCCACCCGCCTTTCTCAGCAAAGGTGCAAACTGTGTGTCTCTTCAAATAGAAGACAGTGTAAGCTTCACGAGTGAGAACCAAGTCTGTCCCTCCCTATTGTCCATAGTACCTAATGGAGTGCCTTTTACATGTTGTTGTTAGGTACCGTCAAGTCGGGTTTCGGCTCAGGTGACCCCACATGACTGAGCAGAACTGCTCCACGCGTCTTCTAGGCTGTCATCTTCACGGGAGCCGATCCTCAGGCCTTTCTCCCATAGAACTTTCTCCCACAGAGCGTTTGAACTGTAAAGCTAGCACATACAGACTGAAGGAAAGAAAGGGAGAGAGAGAGAGCGCATTATCTCTGTTTACAGGGAATAGTATCACTCTGCTGCTGCTTATAAGATTTTTTTTTTTGTTGATAAGAAAAATGTTACATTTTCCAGAAGTACTTATATTTAAATAGGGATCATTTCTTAATAATCCAAAGGAAATAAAATTTCAACAGTGTAATTTCGGCTGTTAGATACAAGCAGATGGGAAGAGAGACATCTGATTTGGTAAACTCCTTAAATCATAGTACATTCACTGTCACACGCTTCAGCCCCTTAAATCATAGTACATTAACTTCATTATGCTTCAGCCCTTAGGAAAATCTTTCATACCTAGATTCTGAACACTCTGATTGGTAATCCTCCACTAATAGTATGGGAAAGAGGTGTCTATTGAATACTTAACTGTCATCTTTGGAAGGAGCCCTGGTGACTCAGTGGTTAAAGAACTCAACTACTAACCAATAGGTAGGCAGTTTGAACCCACAAGCCACTCCGTTGTTGTTGTTGTTATGTGCCATCAAGTCAGAACAGACTCATAGTGACCCCTCCTTGGGTTTCTGCGGCAGTATCACTACAGAAGTAGATTGCCCCATCTTACTTCCGAGGAGTGGCTGGTGGGTTTGAACCGCCAGCCTTCTGGTTAACAGTCTAGTGCTTTAGGCACTACGCTACCAGAGCTCCTCCTACAAGCCACTCTGTGGGAGAAATATATGTCGTCTGTCTCTGCAAAGATTTACAGTCCTGGGAACACTCTGGGGCAGGTCCACTCCGTGCTATAGGGTCAGAATCAACTCAGTAGCAGTGGGTTTGGTTTTGGGTCATTCTGGGCAAGCAAACAAACCCTGTTTCTAGAGGGAAAAAACTTGACAAACATTATTTACACATGTGGCTCTAGGAACTGGGTGCATATGTGAGATGGTATTATTAATGATATTTGTTACCATTTATTGAGTGGCTATTATGTACTATTATGTATTACTATGACCTACTTTGGTCATGTTATCAGAAGGGACTTGTTCCTGGAAAGGAATATCATGCTTGGTAAAGTGGAGTGTCAGCAAACAAGGGGAAGACCCTCAATGAGATGGACTGACACAGTGGCGTCCATGATGGGCTCAACTGTAGCTAGGATTGTGAAGATGGCCCACGACTGGACAGTGTTTCATTCTGTTGTACACAGGGTCACTATTAGTCAGAGCCAAGCCAATGGCACCTAACAACAACAACACCATTATGTACTGGGTACCATACCAAGCATTCTACATACATTATTTAATTTATACAACCCTCCAATGGGTATTATTTCCAGTTTTTTGATGATGAAATTGAAGCTTAAAAAGAGTTCACCCAATATCCTATCCTAGCAATGTGCACTGTTTTCCATGAAACTCTTACCCCTCCTCAGGGTCTTAAAGAAAAGGCAGTTTCAGCTTGTCTACTTACACTCCACAAATAGAGATCTGGGGACGGGAAACAGAAGGACAGGCCTTGTAGAAGTAAGAAGACTAGCTACTATCTACCTTGACATCAGGCTTGGTGCTCAGGTGATCACCATCCAATGCACTCATGTTATTAGGCCTACAGCTGACTGTTGTTCTTAAACTCATATTCCAGCTGTCAAGAAAGGCTCCTTCGACATGGTGTCTGCTCTGATTAAACACAACAGCAGCCTTGACCAGACCTGTGTCAAGCGATGGTCAGCAATGCATGAAGCAGCCAAACAGGGTCGCAAAGACATCATAGCTCTGCTGTTAGCCCATGGAGGGAACGTGCACCTGCGGGATGGATTTGGAGTCACACCCTTGGGTGTTGCCGCGGAGTACGGCCACTGTGATGTGTTAGAGCACCTGATCCACAAAGGTACGTGCAGAGGAGCCGCAGCTTTCTGACATTTCTCCTTCTTCTCTGCCTCTCTTTTTCTCCACCTTCACTGGCTCTCCCTCCCCTAAGGAAAGTGGACATGAGGCTTTTGTACCTAGCCCTTTCCATAGAACTCAGTTCTACAACCTAATTAAGCAGCGTACATCATGACCCCCAAATCCAATGGTCACTCTTTCTCGAAACAGCCAATTTTCACCAAGATGGCTCACCGAGATCTCACACTCATCTTCTCCTAAACTCTTCCCCTGTTCCTACTTCCTGTGTCATCATTTATTTCAATCAAGGCTGAAAGCTCAGGTTTTCTCTAATTCCTCCATCATCTTCTTTCTTATATCCAGTCAGTTGCCAAGTCCGTAGCATCTCTCTCACCTGTCCCCATCTTTGCAACCTCTGTGTCTTCCTGGCCAACCCCCTCATACATTCCCTGGACTAGTGCAATTGTTTCTTAATCTTTCTCCTGGTTTCTGGTCTTCTCATCAGAGAATCCACATGACCCACTGCATCTCAGTTCATGTCACTAAGGGACAGCTACAATAATCTAAACTATTCAAAAACTCCTCGGTGGCTCCCCCTGCCCACTGACTCATGGACAGGTCCCCGTGCCATTATCCTGAATTGTTCCTCTGAGTTTATCCCTCACTGTTCCCCCAGAGGCACCTCAGAAGAAGGGCTTGGTGATCCCCTTCTGAAAACTCAGCCACTGAAAACTCTGTGGAGCCCAGTTCTATTGATACACACGGGGTTGCCGTGGGTTGGAATCAACTCAAGGGCAGCTGGTTTTATCAACTATCTTGTGCAATTACCACTATGCTCCATGTGTTGTCCTGCTAGGCAGTGATGTCTTTGCTTTGGCCGACGATGGAGCATCAGTGCTGTTTGAGGCAGCAGGAGGGGGCAATCCAGACTGCATTTCCCTCCTGCTGGAGTACGGAGGAAGCGGAAATGTACCAAACCGAGCAGGACATCTCCCTATACACCGAGCTGCCTATGAGGGACACTATCTGTGAGTAGTAAATCACAGGAATCATTTTAAGGTAAAAATGCGAGATTATATATACAATATAGTCACAGGTGTCTCTATCCTCCCAACTCCACAAAATAGACAAAATATTCACAGTGGTTGTATTTAGATGTTTAGAACTCATCAGATTTTTCGCCTTCTTTTTATCTTCTTATACTTTACAAAGTGTCCAGGATGAACATATACTATTTTTATAATGAAAAAAGAATCCCTTTGAAAAGGAGGGAAGTTACAAGTGAGAACTGTGCACAAGCCTCTACTTCCCCATAAGAATGCATCTTTGTTAAAAATGTGTTTAACAAAAGACCATGGGGTCACTAAAACATCTGCCCTGTGGCTAAGGAGTTTGGGAGGATGCTACCAATATTACTCCAACTATTTACTAAAACCTTCAGGCTATTATAATAAAATTTCAAATATATTGGGCAATCCTACTTCCGTAGTGGTACTGCCTTGGAAACCCAAGGAGGGGTCGCTATGAGTCGGGAGCGACTCAACGGCAAATAACAACAACAACAACATATCCTTGAGTAATCAAGTTTCATTATACGTTTAGATCTCTTTATTCCATAAATTTTTTTTTTTTAATCACAAAATGTGCCACAATCCACACATCAGTAGAAGCCTAGAATCACGATATTAAACTACCTAACGTGATTATTTTAGGCAATTAAATATACTTCACAAGTTCAAAAACTTTGAGATAGGCATTATCACCTCTGGTAGCCACATTGGATAAGTGAGATGGCCAATAACTGATGCTAAGTGACATGTTGTTAAGGGTTTACCTGGACTTACTCCCAGTGTTCATAAATTCACACATGGTAGCTCTGACTTAGGCACAAGAGATCAAGTTATCCTTGCTTGGGACTTTCATACATGACTAGTTGGTCAGTCAAGTGTGAAACTCACAACAATTTATCACATGAACTTAGAAGCATAAACCGTTTTTTTTTTTTTAGGATTTGGGTGAAGATTTACAGAGTAAATTCACTTTTCATACAGCAGTTCACATATACTTTGTCTCATGTCATTGACCAAAATTTACAATGCAGCAGCTCCCCTCCCACTTCCTCCCCATAGTTACCTCCTCCCAGTGTCCATCCCTTCATACTCTTCGAGAGGCCCATTGTCTGCCAACCCTGAATATGATCTTGGATACACTCTCCATTTAGACATACATAATTGTTTAGCTTGTTCACCCATCTATCCGTCCCTATACCCATGTTTGCCTTCATTGACAACTCAGTATTGTATTTACAAAGGGGTTCATATTTGTTGTTTGTACTGCCCATGTAACTCTCTCTGTCTTTCTCATCCTCAATGCTGCCATATTGGTCACTCACATTTGGTACATTGCCTTTCTCTTCACCCAAATCAATATTTATCTCTATCTATCTAACAGCATTCCCTCCCCTTCCCTCCCACCCCTTGTAACCAACAAAGAAAATGTCCTCCAATATATAAACCTTTCCTTAACTTTCACAATAACGGACTAATACAATATTTGTCCTTTTGTGACTGACTTATTTCGCTCAGCATAATGTCCTCCAAGTTCATCCCCGTTATGCGGTGTTTTGCAGATTCTACATTATTCTTTAGCGTTGCATAAACCGTTTTTAGTTGTCTCAGTGGTCTAACTCAAGGTTGACAGCATAATAAAGACTCTTTCTGGCTACTAATTAAATCACAAGTTTTGTGGAGGCAGATAAGGTGTACGTGGCCAGTATTAAAGGATAGATTGCTCAGGAAGCAGTGAAAAAGACTTGTGAATTGGAATTCCAAAGGCCCAAATTCCAGTCATGGCTCCACATCTAACTGTGTGACCTTGGGACAGTCGTGTCACCTCTCTGGACTTCATATTGTTCTTCTATTAAATGAAGAGTTGAACTAAAAGATGTCCAACATCACTTCCAGCTCTAACTTCCTCTGACCCCATGACTCTATTGGTCAAGATTATAAAGCCTTATTTTATGGCTTCAGATAGGCTTACTTTTTACTTTTTCTTACTAACTGGCATTGACTGCTTAGGAATGTCGTATCGTTTAGAGAAGAAATGAAAGACGGCAAGGGTTCCTGATGAACCACAATACCAGGACAGGACATGTAAGAGCCAGCGTGTCCCCAGAATGTTTACAACGGGAAGCTAAACCAAAACGAAACGAAACGAAATGAAAGGCAGTAGCTTGATGGACAAAGGTTGAATGCTTTAGCCGAATATTATCTGGAAAATATAAAGGAAACTACACAAAATGTATTCACTTGCATAGTGAGAAAGGTTTATTTAAGTTCTTGAGTTTTCTTCACATGTGGTGGATATTTCACTTTTTTCCCCCCTTTTTTTAAGTGCTCTGAAATATCTTATCCCAGCGACATCCAAAAATGCAATCCGGAAAAGCGGGCTAACACCCGTTCACTCAGCAGCAGACGGACAAAACGCACAGTGCCTAGAACTGCTCATTGAAAACGGGTTTAATGTCAACACTCTGCTTGCCGACCACATTTCCAAGAGCTATGATGACAGGAGGAAGACGGCGCTATATTTTGCCGTTTCTAATAATGATATCCAGTGCACAGAAGTCCTTCTGGCTGCAGGTGCAGACCCCAACCTAGATCCCCTCAACTCCCTTCTTGTGGCAGTGAGGGCCCATAACCATGAAATCGTCCGGCTGCTGCTCTCCCACGGAGCTGATGTCAATTGTTATTTCATGCGCGTGAATGACACTCATTTCCCCAGTGCCATTCAGTACGCTCTTGACGACGAGGCAATGCTTAGACTGTTGCTGAATAACGGCTACCAAGTGGAGCTGTGCTTTGACTGCATGCACGGCGACATCTTTGGAAACTCCTTTGTGTGGTCAAACATAGAGAAAGATGTCCTGCCAGGATGGACATCTTGTGTAATCAAAGACAATCCGGTGAGTTATGTCCTTTTCTTCTTCATATTGGTCATCATCCGAACTCTCCAAAAGTGTCACTTATTCAGGGAGCTTATAAGGAAAAAATCAACTATAACCTTTGCATTTTTCTCTTTCTTGAAGTTTTGTTTGCAATGATACGGGAATATAAACATAGAGCTCAGCAAAAAAGATGCTGTTTATTTTCCTTGAAATGGAGTTTTGACAAACTAGATGTGAAAACCAATGCAATTAATGACTGCTGCTTTTTTGGTAGAAAATTGGGGTTAGATGTGAACAAGCATGATTCTTCCATGTTGTGTTGTTGACTGTACAAAAATAAAAATAAAAACCAAACTCACTGCTATCAAGAGTCAATTCTGACTCATAGCCACCCTCTTTGGGTTTTCAAGGCGGTAATTCCTTACAGAAGTAGATTGCCCAGTCTTCCTTCCATAGAGTGGCTGGTGTGTTTGAACTTCCAGCCTTCTGGTTAGCAGTCAAATCATATCCAAAACCACACCCACTGCCATTGACTTGATTCCAATTCTCAGCAACCCTGTAAGACAGAGTAGAACTGCCTCATAGCATTTCCAAGGCTATTTCTAATCTTTATGGAAGCAGACAGCCCCTTCTTTCTCCCATGAAGCAGCTGATTGTTTTGAACCCATGACATTTTGGTTAGCAGCCAAGTGCTTTAACCACTATGCCACCAAGGGTCCTATAATCACATCAGAGCCATGCATATATTTTCAGGGCTGATAGTTGCACAGAAACAAGTAATTTATTTTTCATTTTTATATCAATATGGAGAGGGATACTTTATTTTCTGTTAAAAAAACCAAAATAGTATTTTTCCGTGGTAAAATTGAGTATACACATGGTATATATATATATGGTATATGGTACTCCTAAATTAAATTTCACCAATTCTCTCAGTTCTGTGAGTTTATTACAGTTCCTTGGATGAAACACTTGGTAGGCAGCGTTATCCGCACGTTGATAGATTACATGGATTATGTTCCTCTGTGTGCCAAATTGAAGTCGGCACTCGAAGTACAGAGAGAATGGCCAGAAATCCGGCAAATACTAGGTAAAAGTTTCTCCTGCAAAATTTTTATTAAAATGTATATATAGGGAAAGTTTCTTAATGCCTTCATTGATACTTTTTTCAGTGCTAATTTATTCTATTTTTAGAATTATCTAGGTGTTCTTCAGAACCAATCTTAATGCTTCCTCTGATATAAGATACAAATTTTGTGCTTTTCTTGATATTTTCCAACTCTTTAGTTATAAAATGAATAAGAATATAATTATTTTAACTTCTGACTTGAACTCATTTTCTTAAAAGTTAACTTCTGTAATAGAATACCAGTGGACTGTAATCTCCATGTGGGCAGGGAACTAGTTTGTTTCTTTTTGTATTCTCAAGGCTAGTATGGTGCCTAGAAAATAGTAAATACTCAATAAACACTTTTTGAGCAAATGAATGAATGGAAGGACATACAATGGCCCTTTTTTTGGTATGCTTTCTCTCAGGGTTTTATTGGACATTTTCTTACCACCAAAGATTTATATTTTAGGCAGACCATTTTGTTTTTTCTAGGTGATAGTTCTTAGTTATAATTATAAAAGTGGGTAATTTTTTTTAAGCATTTCAATAAAAATACATCTTAAATTACACCAAAGGAAACTAGAAATACATCTTAAATTACACCAAAAGACCATAGGCTGAAGATGTTTCTATTTGAAAATACGAGTTGGAAAAATGAACTTTCAAAATCTACTTGGACATTAGTTTTATGGAACATAAAGAGAGGCATCATAGAAATTTTCATGACATTTCAATCATTTGGCACTCTTAATATACCTATTGTTGTTGTTGTTATTAACCAGGCCTTAAATATGGTAACATAAAACTGCAACAGCCTAACTTGTAGGAGCAGGCGACTTTTATGCAAATTCAATGACTTATATTTTATAGCCAACAGGATGAAACTGCAATGGCGAGCTGAGTCAGCTACGATATGTGTTAGGTATAAAAGTCTATGAAAGAAAGATGAGTGACATAGTGGGCTTTCATCTACACATTTAGTTTTAGTCACAGAGTCTCATACATTTAATTAATCTGAATTTAGACTGTTTTGGCCACAGTAGCAAGGGATATAGGCTAGTGATGACAATAGAGACTTTGACATAGTTGGAAAATGTGATGATTCAACTCGATGCAGATGTGAAGGTAAACTTGGATTCTCAGTGGCTCTTCCTCTGGAATGACTTCTGCAACAGAATTTAGTGACAACTAAAGTACAAATCTTAGAAAATCTGAGGAACAATGTACTATTATAAACCTAGAGATTGAGCTGTAAAAGTAGATAGGCCTGGGATGGGATGGAATGCTGCCCTGCTGGGAGCAGGATTCCCAGATTTTACGCCTCTCTCTTTAAGGGGTGCTCATTTGACAGAAACAAGCAACAAATTTATCACTTGGTTTCACTGGAAGAGTATTTTTTATTTCCTGCCAAAAGACCAAGGAAGTCCCACACAATCAAAGCTGTGTAACTTTGAACATAGTCACACAAGCTGTGTAACTTTGAACACTCACACAAGCTGTGTAACTTTGAACATTCACACAAGCTGTGTAACTCTGAACATAGTCACACAAGCTGTGTAACTTTGAACATAGTCACACAAGCTGTGTAACTTTGAACATAGTCACACAAGCTGTGTAACTTTGAACATTCACACAAGCTGTGTAACTTTGAACATTCACACAAGCTGTGTAACTCTGAACATGGTCACACAAGCTGTGTAACTCTGAACATAGTCACACAAGCTGTGTAACGGCACGAGTGGTTTGTCCTTGTTGTGCTAGGTTCTCCCATTGCACATTATGGCTCTAAAAACTCATTGCTGTCGAGTGGGATCTGACTCATTAGCGACCCCTCCTTAGGTTTCTGAGGCGCTATCACTTCGGAAGTAGATTGCCCAACCTGCCTTCCAAGGAGTGGCTGTTGGATTTGAACCGCCAGCCTTCTGGTTAGCAGTCAAATCCCTTAGGCACTGCACCAGCAGAGCTCCTAACAAATAAGCTTTGTCCAACACAAAATGACTACAGAGATTTCAGCATAAGGACTATTAAGCAGTTGCCGTGGAGCCATTTCTGACTCCTGGTGACCTTGTGTGTGTCAGAGGAGAATGGGGTCCATGGGGTTTTCAGTGGCTGCTTTACAAGAAGCAGATTGCCAGGCTTTTCTTCCAAGGCACCTCTGGGTGGACTCACCCTGCCTCTTTGTGGTTACGTGCCCTCCCAGGACTCCATTTCAGTCCTCCATTACTGCAAATGCTGTGTAAGTCAGTTGGTTGCTATGAGCACGGCTAACCACTGGATGTCAGGATTCCTCCAGGCATATGTAAAGCAGTGTATTTGCGAAGAAAAAAATAAAATGATTATTTTTTTAAAAAGATAAACATATTCTGCCTATTTTAGCAATAATAATTTTACCTCAATCATCTTCGTAAAACATTGTTTAAAATAAGTAGACAGTGAATATTGATCATTCCAAATATAACAGAAATGTGATTACTTTTATTATTGCAAATTGAGTTATGGTTCAAGTTTATTGAGTGGTTACAATGTATGAAGTGTTTTTCTAATACATTACATGAATTAATTTATTTAATCTTCAAACCACTCCATGAGGTAGATCCCACTGTTACCCCCATTTCATAGATGAGAATAGGAGATCCCAGAGGTTAAATAACTTGTCCAAGGTCACACATAATTGGCTGTGTTGTTGTTATGTGCTGCCGGGTCAGACTCGACTCATAGCAACCCCTCCTTGGATTTCTGAGGTGGTATCACTACAGAAGTAGATTGCCCAACCTTCCTTCCGAGGAGTGGCTGGTGGGTTTGAACACATAATTGGCAGAACCAGGATTTTAACCAAAGTCAACCGGGTTCAGAGCCCACGATCTAAAACCATGTGCTGTGCCGCCTTTTCTCTCCCTCATTAAAAACAAATGAAAACAGTTGCCACTGAGTGGATTCCAACTCATGGCAGCTCCCTGCGTGTATCAGAGTAGAGCTGCTCCAGAGGGTCTTCCAGGGCTGCTGTTCTGGAAGTAGATGTAAGTCACCTCTCAGTGGGCCTGAACTGCCGAGCTTGTAGTTAGAGGCAGGCACATTAACTGTTTGCACACCCAAGGATGTCCACTCCTTCATATTGCAGGTACACGCATTACAATTGTAACTATAACCTAGAACAAAGTAAGAATTGAAAATGAAAACTATAGTCAGATATTGAGGAAATATGAGTAGGCTTTTTGGGAAAGCCTTTTTGTATAATGTTTAGGCACTGGAAACAAATCTAAGATAGCATCACGGATATACAGAATTCTTTGCATCAGATGTTTTCTGGATAATCATCCATCATAAATATGAGTAGAAGAGAGTAAAGGAATATTTCTCTTTAATGATCAGTTCTAAAAAGTAAATAGGAGATGTGTGCATTTGCTTTCTTAAACCACAACCATTCATTCATTCGTTCAGCAAATGCTAGTTGAATGCTGGGTATGAAATCAAGTCTTTTCTTGGCACAGACAGACTAAATCTCAGCCCTCATGGAGCTTACTTTCTAGGGGAGTGGTCTTGAATGCTTAGTTGCAATTTGAATTTCACTTAAGAGTCACCCTTCCTAAAAGTGTACGTACATACTCTGAAGCAGTCAGTATCTAATGAGTCAATCCACTAATATGGTTTTTACTCTTTCTTTGTTTTTCCCATTTACTTTAGAGAACCCTTGTTCATTAAAGCATTTATGTCGGTTAAAAATTCGAAGACTGATGGGTCTCCAACGACTGTGCCAGCCAGCCTGCATGGAAAAGCTTCGCCTACCATCAACTATACAAAGATACATATTATTTAAGGAATACGATCTGTATGGACAAGGGCTGCAATTGCCATAACTTTAAAATAAGGTTTTAAAACGTGATTTTTTTTAAAAAACTTATTCCCTCAAGAACAATTCTTCAGAATTATCTTGCATCCTGAAGTGTATGTAAATCCACTAACAGTTTCATAGATGGATCATGTGTTCTAAGGGAATGCCACGTTTTACATCTTAAAATGTCTTCAGTTGTGATTTTTTTAAGATAGTCAATGTGCTGTAATTGGAATTCTATTGATTATCTTCACTCACTGGAAGCCTTCAAACCTTGCCTATCATCTATAAACATCACTACAACAAACCTCCATCTCCTCCTACTGCTGGCCCATCTCTTCCCTCCTCTCTGTAGCCACTCTAAGTGAAAGACGGCCTTCCTGCCTGCAGGACACCTGCTGTCAGCTGACTAAGCTTCCTCCCCTGCTCTGCTCGGAGTCCTTAACAACCTCCTTGTTCAGGGCAGTGCTTACTGCACCAGTTCCTTTGATGATCCTACAAAGGGTCTCTTCCCTGCGTTTCCTGACACGTGCTCTCCTGGTTCTCCTTCCTCCTACCTGGACGCTCTGTCTCCGGCCCTTTCGGCATTGTTCATGTCCCGCCAATCCTTTAATGCAGGGATTCCTAACAATGTCTTAGGTCCTTGTCTCTTTTTATACTACGTTCACTGGGAGGTTTTATCCATTTCCATGATTTTAATTAATATCTACATGCTGGTGAGTGCAAAATTTGTATCTGAAGCTCAAGCCTTTTTCTTAAGTGTTTCAGACCTCTGTAGACAATTGGCCTAAAGGCATTTGAATACAAAGACATTTCAAATTCAACATATTCACCGTGAACTCACCATCTCCCTCCAGAAGCAGGCTCCTTGTCTTATATTCTCTAGTTCAATAGTTGACACAATTATCAATTTAGTTTCCCAAAGCAAAAAGCTTGACTCCTCTGCCTCCATTTTCCTCACACACTATAACATCATCAAATCTTGTTAAGTACATCTCTTGAAGTCATCTTCCTCCTTTAGTCCCACTATCTGGGTCCTAAGGAGCTTGGTGGTGTAGTGGATAAGGCACTTGACTGCTAACCAGGAGGTCAGCAGTTCAAACCCACCAGCTGCCCTGTGGAAGGAACTGGGCCATCTACTTCTGTAAAGAATTACAGCCTCAGAAACTGAATGGGGTTGCTATGAGTCACAAATGACTCGATGGCAGTGAGTTTGGTTTTTTTGGTAACCGGGTCCTAGTGTTATTACCTCCTCTTTCCGGGGATACCACAGTGCTACCTAGCTGGCCTCCCTGCCAGCTTTCTCACCCACATTCTACACACAAACTCCCAGATCGATCTTTTACAAACGCAAGCATCACTCTCCTTAAAATCATTCCCGTTGCTCTTGGGTTAAAGTCCAAACTTCTTACATGGCCCTTTACCATCTAACTCCTGCCTTCCTCTTCACTCTTACCTCTTGATGTCCCTCTCTGCTCACTCTGCGTTAACCACAGTAAGCACCCTTCTAGAAGTTTATTCTTTGAACAGTGATTCCCAGACTTCTAGGTTTTATACCTAGCAGTTTCTCTTTTGTTAAGTTTAAAAAATATGGTAGTCTGTTTTCAAAAAGACCATGTGTTGTCACAGTCATTGCCCCAAAGAAGAGCCATCTTAATGCCAGAAAATAAGATGACCACAAACTTGTTCACTGAAATGGAATGACTGTAGCTCTGAAAAGACTGACCACACTATTCCCCTTCTACTGTGGACGGGTGGAAATCTCATTCTGGTGTGACAAGCATCTGAGGACAGCTGTTTGGGAGCCACTGTTACAGAATAAACTGTGTGCTCCTGCACTCAGCCCTTGCATTTCTTTCTCCCTCTGCCTCGAACCCTCTTCTCCCTCCATCTGCCCCTTCCCTCGGACCTTCCAGGACCCAGCTTAGCTGTTACATCCTACAGGACAGCACTCCCTGTGCCGTATGTACGATGTTCCCACCTGGCGTCTCCACTAGACTGGAAGCTCTATGAGGGCAGGGTCTTTGTCTCTATTTCCCAGTGTTTCTTCAGGCCCAAACACATTCCCTAGAGCACAGAAAGGGTTTAAGAACTGTTTGTTGACTATAGTCTATAAAATAAGTGAATGTTATGTAAGAGTCACACAGTATTAGTGATCTCATGGTATCTCTGAATTGGTAATGTAATTGTAATAATGTAGTTACTCTGGAGTTTTCTTAGATGTTGATCATGTGTTACTCTTACATCTATTTTTATCATAAGAGTTACTCATTCTTTCATTACCTTACTGGTTTGTAAATTTTTCAAATAGTACATTTTCTTTTTTATAGCTAAATAAGCATGAAAAAATAACTGCATAATTATTGTGATTTTAAACTCTTGTATTTCCTGGTGGATGTATTTTTATATAAACTGCAATGTATTTACATTGAACTGTAATATTTTGTGTATTATATTTCATGATTGCTTTGTTGCTTTCCTGCTTGTGTTGAAATACATTGTTTCCTATAAATATTGCCACAAATATATAACAATGATGATTTAAGTGTGATATATGATACTTCATGTATTAAATAAACTCTAGTATACTGAAGTTGTGACATTTTCCTTAATGTATTTTTGTGCAAATATATTAAGATACTTCAAAAATTAAATAAAATCTAGTACATTCAAGTTTTGACATTTTCTTTACTGTATTTTTTTGTATAAATACATTCAATAAATATTTGGATGTAAAAATGTAAATTAACTGCATGTGGTATAGGTTTTGAAAGGGATTCCTTTTGTTTGTGAATCAGGAGGAATATGTCTCCTATGAAACTGATGGAATTGCAGCATCCAAAACAGATGTAATCTCTCACTGTACCTGGACTTTCACAGCAGTGCTTTTTGTTGTTTTTGTTTTATTTTGAGTAAGCTAGATGATAAGGGTAAACAATTTTTGTATAATTAGGACTCTGTTTTCCCTAGACTATGACATTTGTGGTGGTTCAGTTTGTGTGTCAACTTGGCTAGGCCTGGTTGGGTGACTGGGCAGCTGGATGTAGTATTCCCCATGATGAGACTAGTAATCAACTCCATGGTGGACTCTACTGTGAGCAGCTGAGTAAGCTGGCTTAGGGGTGTAGGCTGCTTCCTGTATATAAGGAGAAGCCTTGGGGAATGGTCACTAGCTTACGGCATGTTTGAACTTTGCATGCAGTCATGTCGTTTGTTCAGCAGCCTGCCTTGCTCTGCTGACCTTGGGACTTTCAAGGGACTTCAATTAATGGCCAGCCGTGTGGTCTGGTAACATCGGGACTGTTCCTTTTCACTCCTCAACCTTGGGTTTGTCAGTCTCAGCAGCCAGCAGCCGAGTGAAGAAAAGCCTCCAGCTTCAGTGAGCCGGGAGCAGGAGGCAGAGCTGAAGCCCAAGGTTGAGGGGCTTTCATCCAGCTCTTAGAGCCTGGCACTTTGAACTCAGACTTAAAGCCTACAAATTGTAAGAATAAACTCCTGTTTATTAAACAGGTGGTATATTCTTGTCAGAGCAGCACTAGGTAATCAGAACAATGCTCTCTCCAGAAGGCAACAGCTGCTTCTTCCCAACAAGCCTATGTTGTTGTGTGCCACTAAGTCAATTTCCAACTCATAGTGACCCCATGGGACAGAGTAGAACCACACCACAGAGTATGCTAGGCTGTGATCTTCATGGGACTCTCCCGTGGAGCCACTGGATGGGTTCGAACTGCCAACCTTTCAGTTAGTTACCAGAAGAGCACTTAACCACTGAGCCATCAGGGCTCCTCCAATGAGCCTTAGGAGAAGCCAAGCATTCTACACAGGCATTTGTTTAACCCCTGTAGAAACGATATGATTCAATTGGGATGTGATCTTCCCATGGTGCCAAGATGTCTTGGCTGTTCTAGTCACTATGGATTTTGACTGTGTGAGTGGAAAGAAGCAGATCTGAACTTACACTTGATTGTGTTTTATTTGGTTTGGTTATGTTTTTCAGTAGGTGATCATTAAATAGTATCTGTATTTCTACCTAGAACTTATTTCCATAAGCACATTAAAACCAAGTGCCTACTGAAGAAATGACTGAATCATTTTAATCAGTCAAAGGATATGATTTTGGACAATAGAATTACAGGGCAGAAAGTTGTGAAACTGCTGTTCACCAAACATTTGTAAGGAATACTGCTTTGAGACAGGCTTTTGAAAAATCAGTACATATGGATCAGACAGCTTAGAAATCAAACAAGATGGCCTCTTAGAGGACAGAGAGAACACATGTCTTCCTCAAGCCCTTGACTTTTACAGAAATTCCTATCCAAATTTTGGTTTCAAGTCAAGTTACTCTTACGTATGTAGTCACCTTCCAATTCACAAATTGTTCAGGACATAAAAATTCTAAGTTGCCTCAAGTTATTTATAGAACAAAATGAAACATTACATCTATATGTTACATTACTTACAGACATACAAGCACATGTGTTGTTGTTATGTGTCGTTAAGTCAATTCCCACTCATTGTGACCTTATAGGACAAAGAAGAATTTCCATAGGATTTTCAAGGCTATAATCTTTACAGAAACAAATTGCCACATCTTCTTCTCATGGCACGACAGGTGAGTTCAAACCACCACACTTCCGGTTTGCAGCTGAGTGCTCAAACACTGCGGCACCAGGGCTCCTCACAAGGACATGTATAGGACATATATACATACAACATACACACATACATAATACATACTCGTAATATGACATGTTATTGCAATGCCGTATTCAATGCACTATGTAAGGACGTGTGCTTTGTAGGCAGACAGACCTGAGTGTGAATCTGGCTCTGCCAGTTTCTTGCTGTTTGAACTTGAATAAAATATAAGCAAGTGCATGTGAAACCCAAGCTCCATTATTATTATTAAATGAGTGGCAGAGGCACTGCAAGTGTTGCAAAAGTCAAGATGCTTGGTCTTGTGGCAGATCTGCAGGTAGCCATGGTTAGATCTGAAAACATTAGAATTATTGTTAGGCATATAAA